GTACCATTTCAGAAATTAAATCTCAAATTGTCCTACGAGTACACATAAGCTAAAACTATCAGCTCACCAACTCGTTCAAACTCCTTCCTCTCCAACTGTATCTCTATACTGGGAAGGTTCTCAACATGTTTTGCAAGAATTCAAGGAACTCCTAATATTCAGGATCTACATGTATATCAACAAATCAATCGTGATTTCATACGAATAGATGAGAGCATGGAAACCACATGTAATCAGCGCACAAGGTAAACACATTTCAATATCGTCCATTCGCGCCCATACTGAAAGAGTTGTGAAGGAGCATACTGAACAATTTTTTTTAATCCGGGTACCTGGAAGGGGCGAATAAGAGGGAAAACCCCTCGTTTAGAATTTTTTTATTATTTTTTTTTAAAATTATATGCATCCCTATAAAATTATAAAAATAGGTTTAATCATTCTTACCAAGGTGTCTCCCCTCCCCGGCCCCCAAAGGTAGGAAAAAGGGGAAAAAGAAAAAGAAATTCAGAAACATTAAAGCTTTGAGGTCATTCAATTAAAATGTATCCCTATTCATCTAAAAGGCTTAAACCATTAGAATCTGTATATCACAAAATCAACCCATCATAGGCAATTTAGTTAAAAAGCAAACAAAGCCAAAATATAGAATTTTAAAAACATATCTATATATAACATCAAATATATATAGGAACAAGTACTTAGAGTGAGTAATAAAAAGACATTGAGCCCTGCCTATCTGTTTCTCCACTTTGGCCCGCATAACTCGCAGTGCCCCTGTTTCTTCCTCAATCTCCTTCAATCTCTTTTTCGGATCTTCCAGCTCCTACAATCTCAGGACATCTCTTTTTGGCGTTCATGCCTCGACGAATTTTTCGAGGTTCTTTAGCTTTGTAACATATTCTTTGCTGTCTTTGCCGATCATGTACTCATGCAAGAAATTGGTTGTGTTGGGATTGATTCCTTTTATCTCAAGATAGATACTTGCGAAAAGGCTTCTGCACATTTTCATCCAATTCCCTAAAAGATAAAAACGCACCATTTGCATATTATTTGGAAGAGAAAAACAGAACGCTTAGAGACAACTTAAATATGATACATAGATAGATATTTATATACTAACATGAAATCAGGTCCTTCATATGCTATTCGATCTTCAGAGCTCTCGGGGTCCTTAACAGATAAGCTTTTGATTGCAATCTCCTCAGGGTAAGCTATACATCCAAACTCTAAACAGGGTCCATTTCTCTTGGAAACTTTGACGATGAGGTATACTTGATTGAGGGCATCTTTCTTCATCGTTATTGTCATTGTCATTATCATTGTCATCGTCATCGTCATCGTCGTTCTCCTCACCAGTTACAAAGTCAGGCATATGAATTTCGAACTGATAGTTTCACCCTGATATTCCCTAGTTAGAGTTATGGTTTATTGTCCAAGATGGTCTTCAATTTTAAAAGGAAAACCTTGAGGCACCTTCACAACCTGTAAGAGAAATCATTATTACCCAAAATAGAGTTTGGACACATGATCAACGAAAAATATTGGTGTATACACAAATGATATTAGAAAGACTTCAAGTAGCATAATAGATAATGAATAATGATCAACTACAATAAAATCACAAAATGACGAATTAACAAACAGAAATCTAATTGATGCACAAAATCACTAACCCTTCGTTTCCATTTAAGATAACTAAGGGCATTGCATCAGAGATTTTTGAATAAAATCATATTAGCAAAATCCATTTCCCAAACATAATCAGAGAAACTATAGAGAATAAAATATCAATATAAATTGTAGAATATCATTTCTTTCATTTTCCAACATTTTCTAGCAAAAGTGACATCATGTTACCAAAATCATACATAAAGTTCACCCAATATGACCAAACAACAAAATATATCCCCTTAAGAAATGAGCATTGTATATTAATCCCTTTACATAGAAACTAAAATGCCAATACTGCAATCGATTGTACAAAAATTTCAAACGAATTTTTATTGAGTGATATCGAGGTCTTTGAGGGTTTGAAATGAAAAAGGGGTTTTGCAGAAAGAGGAGGGTTTTGGTGTTAGCCACCGCGACGGATCCTTCTTCTTCATCGTCTTCTTCTTCTTTTCTTCTTCTTCTTCTTCTTCTTCGTACAAGAATAAAGGAATGGGAAAGAGTGGAAAAGGATGAAACGTGCGGGAGAAGTGGATTGAAGAACACAACCATTTTTTGAACAGAAGTTGTCCAGTTTTAAAGTGTGAAATGGAGAGAGAAATGAACACTGACCATAGCATTGTCCTTTTGGATTTTTTAGTGAACAGTGCCTAACCAGTTCCAAAACAGTCTAATGTGAACGCAATGGCTCATAAATGGGAAGTAGGAAACTTGAAGTAGGATTTTAAAAGAAGTAGGAATATAGGAAATAAATAGATAGTGATGAGAGGACAACTAGCTTTGGAGTTTGAAGAAGTATTGGATAGAAAATTGACGAAAAAAGATCGCGTCAGGGGCAATTTTATCATTTGGCGTGATGGTGTCGGAATGGGCTGAAATTTGGCAGGTTGATTGGAAACAGCCTGAAAAATTGGACTCGGGGCACCTAAAATCTCGTGATTTTAGCCAAATTCCT